GGATGATAGTTCGGGAGGGGAGCTATTATCGCTGGGTCAATGCATGTTTTGTCTATTGTCGAGAGGGGACTTTAAACATTATGTCGTCATTGCATTGACGTGTTATGGTATGCATTCATTATGTCATTGTTGTTGATGAAAGAGTCAAGTTACAATCCGAGCAGAATGAATGGGTAACTTGTCCTGAATCCGAGTAGGATGGGTTCGGGGTTCGAGCAGGGTGAACCTGATTCCTAAGTGAATCAATTGATGATGATATGGTACCACATGCATATGAGTTTAGTCGTAGTTTTGAGTCTCATTACATAATTTAAATGATGAATATGTGATTGCTTTGTGTATGTTGATGAAATTGGGTGTGAGAATGATGTGTGATTGTTGTTGAATGTGTAGATTTTTGAATTCTACCTTGCAACTTATGCCATTAAATTATTGATGTGAATTCTCACCTCCTTTTCTTTGATGTTGTCCATCATGGACATCTTCCAGATACTTAAGAGTAGAGTTGTTGTAGTGAGTGGAAAATAGCTCTTGGAGTTATTTTCATTAGTTATCGCATTTTTAGTCGCTATGCTCTGATTCTGTAATACTGGGGGTGAGTGATGTTTTATTTTATTATGTTTGATATCGACTTACTTGTTTGTTGAAGTTTAATAACTACTATGTTGTGTTGTTTTGAAATTTTTTAGAGTTGGATATTGAAATTCTTTTTGAATCATTTTGTGAAAGTTAAGTCTTTATAAGACTCAAATTGAAGTAAACATGTTTCATTTTCGCGATTAATATGATTTCATTGTAATGATACCTAAGTGAAGGTGAGAATGCAACGACAGGTGTTATATGACGTTTATTTTCCGCTGCATATTTTAAAAATGTATATGAGTTGTTGGTTGGTTGTCGAAGTGACACCTTAAATTATTATGTGATCTTTTATATATGAGTTTCAGAGTTTAAGGTGTTACATTGGACCTTTGGCTTCCAACTACAGAAAATGGGAATATAAGTTTATTTATGATAATTGCATATTGGGATGAGTCGCCACGTCCGCCGGTATTAACCCCTAAAATAGCGGAAACAGTGACACAATAAGCTATAAATAAGGCGACACATGAAGCAGTGACACGTGAAGCAACATGAAAGGTTGAAATGGAAAAAAAAAAGAAAGAGACAATTTGAGTTGGAGAAAACCTTGAGAGTTTCACAAGAGTAAATACAAGAAAATATGTTGTCACAGAGGAATCGAACTCATGATTCAATGGTTAAAATCAAGGTTTTTATGGATATGATGGGGTTGACAAATTTAGAGCGATTAATGGCTAAGGAACAGTAAGTAAAGATGAAGAAGATGTGAGCAGTGAAGATAATATGGATGGTGAATATTGTTTTAGTTTAATTTTTTATTTTCAAATATTAATTTTTTTGTTTAATTATTATGATATTTAAATATTTACAATTACTTTTTAATTTAATTTTTAAATATTTATTATATTTATATTATTATAAATATTAAAAAATATTTATAATAATATAAATACAATAAAAAATTATTAAAAAATATGACATCTCCGAGGTGTAAGAGCATTCACATCCATCATATCCATTTGTGTTCTTTAAATGAGTCCCACTTATTTTTTTTACATTATATTACACTTTTAAATTATTTAAACAACTCAACTACATTTTCCAAATATCCATACAACTCATAAAATTTGTAAAATGGGTCCCACTAAATACCACAAATATCTTATATTAAATCTTTTTACCAGTGTTTTAAAAACCGGACCGGACCGGCCGGTCGGACCGGGAATCGGCCTAGTAACCGGCCTGGTTTACTAGTTCGATCGTCTGTGTCATCAAACCGGTAAAAACCAGGAAAAACCGGGTTGGACCGGGAAAAACCGGGTTTAAGGTTGGACCGGTTCTAATGCATTTTTTATTTTTTAATTAAAATTTAAATGCAAAAATTATAAAAATTAAACAAAAAATTGTTTAAAATTAGATTATGTTACAATTATTTTGTAATTTTGTATTATTTTGTTATGTGTGATACATTTGTTTAAAATTTGAATTTAAATTATGAATTTGTGAATTTATGATATGATATTTTCAAAAAATTTAAGTACTAATTATATTTTTTTAGAAACTGAATCATCCGATTCGACCGATTTTATATCTATATAATGACAGGTCTATTCAATCGAGTTATCCGGTTTAATCCGGTTTAGTCATGCGGTTCGACCAGTGACCCAGTGGTTCGACCGATAAACCAGTGACCCAATATCCTCACTGGTTCGATAACCGGTCCGGTTTTTAAAAACACTGCTTTTTACAATCATTTCTAATTAAATAATTAATTAAATGCACATGTGGCACTTGTAGGAACGTTTTTTAATGTGACAACTGTTGCAAATTAAAGAACGATGTTATTATGCAATTATCTATCATTTTCTGACACAATCACTTTGGTAATAGTGTAGGAATTATATATTTCTACCGATAATTATGCTCTAAAAGCCCTTACAACATATGACATGTATTTGACACGCAAGAGTTCTGAGAATTTTTATCCTAACAACACATGTCATATTTTTACACCTATCAAACACATAGTTGACACGTTATCTACATTCTATAAAATGTTGTTAAGAGTATTCACCTGAAAACGTTGCGATAAGTTTTTCATTTCACAATACATCTTTTATCTAGAAAAAAATTCCGACAAACATTTTTTCAAAATATTTTAACTTTTTGCAAAATTAAGCATTACGAGAAGTTATATTATATATGTTGTGATTTAAGAGATAATATTCCGATTCAAATAAGGATTACTAATTAAAATTTATGGATTACGCTTGAGTGCAGTGTTTTGAAAGTCAGATCGGGAACTGGGACACTAATCGGCCTGGTTCATTTGACGGATCGGCCTCGCCATTGAACCGGTATGAACCGGTGCGAACCAGAAAAACCGGCAGTTTAATTGTTTTTTTTTTTTAATTTTAACTTTTTTTTTTAATATATTTAGTAGTGTATTACTTAAATAGCATTCTCACATAAAAAATTTTCGTTAGTGACAAATTACAGACTTTATTGGCTATTTGTTATTTTTGCTAATACATTTTCTTAAATAGTTAGTAACAAATTAGTTACCTTATTATTTTAACTTTTTAGATTGTTATATATTTTATCTTTTTATATTTTGTCATTGCTAATAATTTTAATTAATTATAATTTATAATTAATTATATTTAGTGTCAAAATATTAACAATAGAAAAAAACATGTATTTTGTTGAAAGGGAAAGTGAAATAGCATAAATATATTGAATTTTATTTAAAATTTGAATTTATGCGGTTCGACCAGTGACCCAGTGGTTCGACCAATAAACCAGTGACTCAATACTCTCACCGATAAGTTCATATCACACATAACAAAATAATACAAAATTACAAAATCTAATTGCAAACAAAGTCTAATTGCAACAGCTTCCCCATCAATAATATCATGTATTGATTATTATGAAATAAGAGGTAACTAGTTGTAAGTAAAATATGATTCTCCTAAAAAGAAAATCAAATAAAATTCAATATATTTATGCTATTTCACTTTCCCTTCCAACAAAATACATGTCTTTTTCTATTGTTAATATTTTGACACTAAATATAATTAATTATAAATTATAATTAATTAAAATTATTAGCAGTGACAAAATATAAAAAGATAAAATATATAACAATTTAAAAAGTTAAAATAGTAAGGTAACTAATTTGTTACTAACTATTTAAGAAAATGTATTAGCAAAAATAACAAATAGCCAATAAAGTCTGTAATTTGTCACTAATGAAAAAAATTTATGTGAGAATGCTATTTAAGTAATACACTACTAAATATATTAAAAAAAGTTAAAAAATTTAAATTTAGTCATACGGTTCGACTAGTGACCTAGTGGTTCGACCGATAAACCAGTGACCGATTCGATGACCGGTCCGGTTTTTAAAACATTTTGCTTGAGTGTCTAGAACATCTTTAATAAAGTGAATTTGTGAAAAACAAAAAGAAAACTAAAACTAAAATATATTTATACTTGATAATTTATTTACTTTAAAAAAAAATATATCTATTTTATAAATTCTTTTATAGGCTGGTTTATCTCCCCAGGATTATTTTTGCCCTCTCTTTTTAATAATAATATTTTTTTAACTTAAATTATAATAATAATAATAATAATAATAATAATAATAATAATAATAATAATAATAATAATAATAATAATAATAATAATAATAAATGTTATTTTATTATTTTTCATATTTTCATAAACTATAAGAATATTTAAAGCTTATAATATAATCAGTTAAATTATATTATTATATTAGTCCTATTAAATTTCCATCCTGAATATTCTAGAAAATCATTTGCATTTAGCTTAAATAAAAGTGTAGTCACCTTAAAAATTAAGTTTTAGAGTTTTTTTTTTTTTTTAAGAATTAGAAAACAAAAAGTTATTATTAGTTTCAATTAAAAGTCAAAAATCAAAAACCAAAAATGTAATTTTTATTAATCTCATGGAATTTAAAGAAACATTAACCAATAAAATCAAATACTAATAATGTGAAAATTTATCTTTTTTTCATATTTATGGTGGATGGAATAGATAAAATAGTATCTAATAGTTGAGTTAAATCTATGTAATAGGTTGATATAGAGTTTAATTTTTAACGGTAACATATTTTTATATTTATATATTAATATAAAGAAAATGTAGATATTTAGAAATATTTTTTCATCTTAAAGAAATATTATATTTGATCATTTTTTTAATTATTAAATAATAAATATATCTATCTATGTACAATCTAGATACATTATGTATTTATTGAATTTAAAAGGTAAACTTTTTTATATAAATAAGAATACCAAAAAACTTTAGTAATATATCTATTCATTGTTTTGAAAATTGGATAGATAATGACTCTTATACCCTCTAGTAATATATGTATATATATGGGTGCTTCGCATAAAGTTAAACCATATTTCCCCTCAACTCAAAAACTTATACCCTCTCAGCTAGCAGCTATGTGGTGGTACTATATTTTGTTGGTTCTTCCCATTCTCTTATTTCTCTTTCAGAGATGCATAACAAGAATTCGTAACACTCCCATCCACACTCTTCCTTCATATCCAATCATAGGAAGCTTTGTCTCTTTTTACAAAAACCGCCACAGACTTCTAGATTTCTATATCCACTACCTCTCCCGATCTCCAACTCAAACTATTGTCGTTAACCGTCTCGGTGCCCGCCGGACCATCTTAACCGCGAACCCTCTCAACGTCGAATACATGCTCAAAACCAATTTCAAAAACTACCCAAAAGGAAAACCCTTTACTGAAGTCATTTACGACCTTCTAGGTTCCGGCATATTCATTGTAGACGGAAAATTATGGTCAGATCAGCGCAAACAACTCAGCCATGAATTCACCACGAGATCTCTCAAAGATTTCGTTGCCAAGAGTCTTGAAGATGAAGTTCAGCATAGACTTATTCCATTGCTTGAATTGGCTTCTAATGATAACCTTGTCATTGACATGCAGGATATCTTGACGAGACTCACGTTTGAAATAGTGTGTAAAGTTTCACTTGGCTATGATCCTTGTTGTTTAGATTTATCGAAACCTTTACCACCTCTTTTGTCTGCATTCGACAAAGCTACCGAAATATGCGCAATGCGTGCAGCTTCACCGATTCCTTTGGTTTGGAAGATCAAGAGGATGTTTAATGTTGGATCAGAGAAATCACTTAAAGAGGCTGTTAAAGTCGTTCGTGAATCGATGATGGAGATAATAAGAAACAAGAAAAAAGAAATGAATGAGAAAAAATATGTTAGTGGGAGTGATTTGTTGACAAAGTTGTTGGAGGCAGGGCATGATGAAATCATGGTGAGAGATATGATTACCAGTATCGTCCTGGCAGGGAGAGACACCACGTCGGCGGCGATGACGTGGCTGTTTTGGTTGTTGACAAGGAATCGTAGCAAAGAGGAACTGATAGTGAAGGGAGTGAGGGAAGTTTTTGGAGGAAAGAATAACAAGAATGATTTTGAGTTGATCAAGTCTTTTGATTATGATGATTTGAAAGAGATGAAGTATTTGAAAGCTTGCTTGTGTGAGTCAATGAGGTTGTATCCACCGGTGGCGTGGGATTCGAAGTATGCTGCCGACGATGACGTGTTGCCGGACGGGACTACGGTGGGGAAAGGTGACAAGGTGACTTACTTTGCTTATGGGATGGGGAGAATGGAGGCGTTATGGGGAAAAGACTGGAATGAGTTTAAGCCAGATCGATGGTTTGATGAAGCAGTGAAAGAAGGGGATACTAATGGAGTTTTGAAACATGTGAGTTCTTATAAGTTTCCAGTTTTTCATGCTGGTCCGAGAATTTGTCTTGGGAAGGAAATGGCTTTTATTCAAATGGAGTATGTTGTGGCTTCCATTCTCAACCGGTTTGAAATTAGGCCTGTGTCAGATGACCAACCAGTGTATCTACCTTATCTTACTGCTCACATGAAGGGTGGGTTCAAAGTGAGGGTCCATAAGAGAGTTTAAAATGGACAATGTGCCCGTGAGAGTTTGTCCAGCATTCAACATTTTCTTTAGGCTAATAAAAGTAATTTTGAAAAGAAAAAATTTATTTTTTAAATTTATTAAACAGTTAATATATCTAATCTATTATATAGATCAGATATATTATTTATTTAATAAATTTTAAAAATATTTTTTCGGATGAATGGATAAGAGCAAATAAAATGTATTTTTATTAATTTTTAATATATTTTTAGTTTTAGTTTTTTCATTATAATTTTGATTTTCTATTATTTTTAAGAATAATGTTTTTTTTCTCTAGTACACATTATGTTATTTGTATGAATGAAGCACTAATTTAAATTACAAAAGATAATTTAATTAAAATGAATTTACATTGAAATTAAGTTTAATAAACTCGAAAGTAAATATTGCAAATTAATATTCCAATTTTATTTTGATTTATAAATATTTCTTCTGTTAAAATGTATAATTGTATTTATATAATTAAATACAAAATGACTAGAATAAATACAAAATGACTAGAATGAAAATTAATATTCTAGTTCTTTGTATTAAAATTAATGTGAAACTTTTTTATATTATTTTGTATTTATCCACTAAAATTACAAAATTTTAATTCTTTTTGTTTAAAAAATTATGTGTTTATTAATATATTTATTTTTATGAAATAAAAATATTCTACTAGTTAAATAAAAATTTTATCTTAATTTATAAATATTTTCTATCTTTAAAATTTAATAAAAATAACTCAAATTTTTTAATATTGAAAATTAATATTCAAATTTTATCTTGATTTATAAATATGTTTTCTATTAAAATGTGAAATTGGGTTTATATTATTAAATACAAAATAACTAGAATAAAAATTAATATTCTAATTATTTTAATTAAAATTTGATTGGCTTGATCAGAAGAGGACCACTGACTTGTCACAAGCCGTTGATCTGCTGGCTGTTCACCGGTGGTAAGAAAGAGGTGGGGAGTGTACCTGTAAGACACTCTGATGCTAAAGTGAGAAAATGGACCAGAGTGAGAGCAAATACAGAAAGTAGGTTGAGAATTTAATACCTGGCCCTCTAGTGAAAGAGGGTATTTATAGAGAGACCCCAGCGCAGGGCCAACAGTCATTTGAGTTGGGCTCGATGGTCAGGCCCAACCCAAGTGACTGTTAGGGCTTACGTGGCGTAGTGAAGACCAGGACGTGGTCTTCGCCCTAATTCAATTGTCCCGTGATCTCCGGAAAGTGGGTTGACATGCTCTTTTGGAGGTGGGCAGTTGGTTGATGACGTGTCCCCGCGGAGGGGAGCACGTGGAGAACGTGTGGAAGACATGTTGTTCTGCCCAACGGAGGGATGCTCTGGTCGAAGAGAGCCTTGTGCTCGACATAGGTGATAAAAGCCATCTTTGGGCCTTTCCCCAAAGATTATTGGGCTGGGCCTTCTCAGTCAAACCGGGGCCCAGACCAGAACAGGAGCCCCCCAAGTCGTAGCTCCGAACTGAAGGAGCGAGGACTTGATGACGTCGTGCCGATGAGGGAGAGTGCATAGGGAGAGATTCTGTCGGACACAGATGTCGAGGAAGTGTCCCCCGTTCGACGAGGAGTGCGGGAAGACGGAGGGACGCGACTCATTTCATACGCCATGTGTCAAGCGTACAGTGGGCCAAGTGGGGCAGCTACTCTAGTGTACTCGAGTGCCTATAGACGCTTCGAGTCCCGTGCTGATGGTATAAATAGGCGGGTCCCTGCCCATTCGTTATTTTCGCTTCTGCTTCCTTTCTTATGTGACGACTGATTTGTTCGTGTCTGCTCGCCACCACCGCCGCAACAACCGTCGCGTACTCCGCCGTCACCTGCAACCCAGTAAGTTTCCTTTCCTTTCCTTTTCCTTGTTTCCTATTTTAGAACTGGCGTCGGCGCGTGTTGAATACCCCGAGGAGGGAGGTGAATCTCCGCAGTCATAGGAGGTGTTTTCTAGGTTTTTAGATGAACGCGCTGAGGACGCGAGAGGGGTAGTTTGAGTATCCCGGGGACAGACATTGGTGTTAAATGAATACCCCGATGACAGATGTTAACGTTAGATGAATGCCCCATGGGCAGATGTTAATGTTAGATGAATGCCCCAGGGACGGATGATAGGATTAGTTGAATGTCCCGAGGACGTATATCCCAAGGACGATGAGGGGATGTAGGATGAATCCTCTGAGGACAGCTGCACGTATGGTCTCTACTATCGTCGCGGACGTTGTCCCCGTCGCCCTTTCACTTGGCTTGCGGTGGAAGGGTGAATTTGATCTGGTCATCTAATTCACCGTTACCTTCTGCTTTTCAGGTGTTAATGACTTCGTGGGTCCCGGGGACTATGGACGTGGATGAAGAACAAGAAATTCCTACCGTCGAGGATAGAGTCTAACCAATTGAGAAGTGGATGGTCGAGGAGCCTTTGGCTACGCCTTCGTACTTCGTAGACGGTCAGAACGGGGCATTTGCTACCGTCGAGGATAGGCGTGAGGATGACCCTAAAAATTGGCAGGCATACCTGCCTCGCGAGCACCACCACATATGTTCGGCATTCGAAAAGATGCGTTTCCCCATGTACGAATTTTGTTTTTGGGAAGTCGGGCTTAGACTGCCGTTCACGGACTTCCAATTGGGGGTCTTTGACTGGTTGCGATTAGCTCCTTCGCAACTGCACCCCAACGCCATAGCCTTCGTCCGAGCATTCGAGCTCGTTTGTAGATACTTGGAGATCGGGGCCACGCTGTTGTTATTCTTCCGCCTTTTTCATCTGCAGAGGCAGACGGTGGATGGCCGGCACAGATGGGTCTTGCTGAAACAATCGAACAAGCTCTTTCGGACGTACATGGATTCTGCCCGAGATTTCAAGGCCCGCTTCTTCGTCGTCAGGCCGATTTCCCACGGAGCGTGCTCCTCGTTGTACATGAGAGGGGAGCGAATAGTAAACGGGCAGCGGGAGGACGTATTGGTACTGAAGGTGCCCTTGGAATGGACCGAGGAGCATTTCTCGAAGGGCACCGATCGATACATAGTGCGGGCGGGGATCCTAAACGAGGAGGACCTGGCTGGTTTTCAGAAGATAGTTGCGTTCGTGGCCAGCCTGCCCCCGTCGAACCTGGTGAAGCCCGACGATAGATATATTTGCGACAGTCAGGGGCACGTTTGTCAGAAGAAGAGGCTGCTCAACACGAAAGCTCTGCTCGAATGTTCGTCGGAGGCTGAGGCCCTTAGTTACCTAGGTGGTGGCCGTCTCCTTCTTCCCTTGGTTTTCCATTTTTTTTATGTTTGCTGACTTATATCTTTCGTTTTTGCAGGGAGTATGTCTTACGTCGAAGAGAGATTGAAGAAGTTGGCCGCCTCCAGAGCCGCGACTGCGGCCGGGAAGACACGGGTTGCCCAGGTGGCCGGGCAAGCTGTTACCGATCAGGGGGGAAAGTGTTCTTCTTCGTCCCCCCAGAGTAGCTAGTCTCCCTCGTCTCAAGGGGCTGTGAAGCGGGCTAAGATTCAAAGGTTTGAGGGTGTCGTCGACTTGACGGACAGGTCTTCCAAAGAGGGTTTCACGATCCCGCCGTGTCATCAGCATCTCGGCTTCTTTCATGGAGCCAGGTCGCCTAATGTGTTGGTCGGGGAGGCAAAGGTAGTTCTCAGTTCGGATAGGGCTGCCAGCCGGCAGGTTCTGGCGGAGGACTTGGCCGCCATGATGCGGGTCTTCTCAACGGTGTTGGTCCTGAGCGATGAGAGCTGCTCCTCTGTTGAGTTGTCCAAGTTGCAGGGTGATCTTACCTTTGTGCAGTCGAGGTTGACTAAGATGGTCGGGGAGCTGGAGAAGAGTCAGGGAGAAGTGGCCACGCAACGCAAAAGTGGAGATAATGCCGAAAAGAAGCTGAAGGTTGCGGAAATGGAGGTGCAGGCGCTGAAGGCTCGTGTGGGAGAGCTGGAAATTTCGCTTCGTCCTGCCGATAACGAAACTGATGAGGATAAGCTGATGGTTACCCGGGAGGATCTGCTCGGTAGGATTTGGGAGTTGGAGAACGATTGTCTGGAGGCAGTCGGGGTTGGTGTTTTCGGTGCGGTGGAGCAACTCAAGGTGGTCAACTCCGACGTTAGCCTGGTCGTGGAAGGAATCGGGCCCTTCCACCAGATTGTTGATGGACGGGTGGTCGATCTCAGTTTCGAGGCTGTTGATAACTCTGCCCCCGTGGACGAGCCTGAAGAGGGGGGTTTTGATGATATGTAGATTTGTTCCGGGCCTGAGTGCTCGTGGCTTACAGGCCTGCGTGCCAACGTTTGTTGTTTTTCTGCCAAGTACTTTTGTTGGGCCTGCGTGCCCATCTCTTGTTGTATCTTGACTACTGGGCTGGTGCCCGCGTTTTATAATATGATATTTTATTAAGTGTGCGCTCGTTTTGTGTTTGCATGATGATATGCCTATTTTATTTCTGCATGTTTGTATGCTCGAAATGTATGTTTACTATTCTTTTTTGGTATGTCTGGGGGTATTAGCTCGACGATACTTGTGTCCGACAGTGCAGGGAACTGGCCAGGTGACCGGTATGGTTACCTGGTCGGTAAAGGGGGTGTTTATCCCAGCGGCGTGAACGTTCCATCGCCAGCTGGGTGTTCTGTCGTGCCTGGTACATGGAGGGGAGTCTCGATCGAGGGGTTCTCCGTCGAGCAGAACCTTCTACCTGCGCACACAAAGGTAGAGGCTTGCTATTTCGTTGGTCTTGAGGAGACGTGATCGTACCATATCGCTCTCCTGTGGTCGCGACGCTTGTCATCGCGGGCAATGTTTAAGTGTAGTATTTTTTCAGCTTTTCAGCGTTCCATGGTCGAGCTAGTTGATCCCCGTGTAGGTTTTTGAGGTAATAGGCCCTGTGCTCTGTCTTGTCTCGAACACGATAGGGGCCTTCCCAATTTGCGGTCAGTTTGCCCTCGTGTGAGTCCTTCTGGTTTCTTCGTAAGACCAGGTCGCCGACCTGGA